GGGGCCATTGCGGGCCCGGGGCAGCGGGGAGGCGGCGATGCGATCGCTCCTAACGCAAGTGCAGTGGCTGCCAGGCTTCTGTTACCGGAGTCCGACACCAATAGCAAAAGCCTTGGTCTTTGCCCAAATTCTGAGAGCACCGAGGCTGATGGGGAAGCTGGGAGACCAGCACCATAGTTCTGCAGTACTGGAATGGGGTTTTCTTTATTAAGTGCTTTGTAATGCCTTAAAGTAGGTATTTTGCATTAAACCGGCCATTTCAAATGCAGGATTAAAGTTGCATATTTTAATGTAACCCAGCTGAGGCATCTGTAGTGCACATGGAAGCAGCAATGCCAGTAAATCTCCTCATTATAATGGTAGAGTGGTAAACCTGCCGAGTTTGGCTGTAAGAATTTTCTGTACTGTGTAATCTGTAAGGGTTTTTTTGTATCACGTCCATTGTCCTCCTCCTTTATTTTTCTTACCCTGATTCACTCGGTAATCTATGTGGGTCATGTTCTGCTTTTGCTTTTTGTTTTTTGGGGTTTTTTTGAGCGTGGAGACAGTAATACTTAGCAATGTCCTGGGGATTTAATTGCTTATAGAGGAATTCAAGTTGAAAAGCACTATTATTTACTTGTGAAAACAATGGTTAATACTGTGCAAGCATCTGCATTTTACTTACATTAAAGCATTTAAAATTATTATTTTGGTTAAAAATCTTTTTCCCAGTAAAGGGTTCTTGTATCCCTGGGGACCTTGAACTTAACTTGAAGCTGAGAGAAGAGGTTCTAAAGTTCTCACTTGCTTTAAAATATTAGATTTCACGTTAAACAAATATTTGTTGTGTACTAATTTGTATTGTTTCAAACCAGAGTAAGTACCTTTAGAAACTAGTGTTTGTTTAGGAGAAAAATAAATATGTTTTTAAAGTCTTCTGGATAAATGCTGTACTACTTTTTACTTTTAGAGTATGAAGCAGAACAGCCTCAATTTCCAGATTTTCCTGAATCAAAACATGGATCTGTGAGTATAGTTCAAGTAAAAAAATCTGCATAGGACTGGTTTTAAAAGATTTTAAATAACTAAATAGGAAAATTAGGTGCCTGCAAGAGCAGACTCACTCATAAATTGAAAACAAAACTACATTTTGCAAACAACTTTTGTGAATCAACAAATGTAATATTACAAATCATTGCTTTTATTTAAAGCAACTTGGCTAGCGCTATCCTAAAATTAGCTTGGCAGCTGTGTTTGGTTTGCACATCTCCCCATCTTTTTTCTGTGACTGTCTGCTTCGTAGGCAGGACTCGGAAGTGTGCAAGGATCTCCTTCGGGTGGTGGTGCAAGCAGACTGAGCACTGAAATACGCAGGAGGGGCCAGCAAGTGCAGCGGAGGAGTAGGAGGAGTTACGCCCCAATTTCACATATGTGATAGGTCACTTAGATGTAGCCATTGAAATTAGCGGAATTAAACCTGATCAGAGTTGTTTGAAGTCTAATTCTGACCAAATAAATTCAGTCTAGGAAGACTTGTTTGGCAGACTTAAAAACTTAAGAAAGGCAAACCACTTTAAATCGTTGTCCCCAGAAGTTCTTGGAGCAGCAAAATTACTTCTTTTGGGCACCACATATAGAGTTAACTTTCGTTTAGATGTATTTAGGTTACTTTGTTATTTAAAAACTATTTTAAATTGTTGTAGTTCAAATTGTTTGACAGTTGGTCTGTTTAGGCCTATCCTGTTTCCCCAAATGAAGCTGGCTTCATTACAGGCTGTTATTAAGTTTGAATAGTGAACTCTGCTTGGGGCATTAGTCTGGGCGTAACAGATTGATATATTTGAGCATCAAATTTAAATAATACATATTTTTATGTTGATGCACTTTTTTTTTAATCTCCGGAAGGATTTTTTTTTTTCCTGAGTGGAAAAATACTCATTCAGAAAATGTTGCCAATTTTAATTTTCAAAGAATGACTATTTCTTACAATGGCTAAAATATTTTTCAAATTGTGATATCTCACCATATTCTCTTAAAAGCAGTCGTATACCTTCTGTTAGGTTTGGATGTTTTTATTGTGCTGGAAACTGCAGATTTTTTTAAAGTGTAATTCTTTCTTTTAAAGAACTCAGAAAATATGGAAATAATATTTTAATTAGAAATTATAATTCCATATATTTTTAACTGACCTTATAATTTTTCCTATTGAATTGGCATCTCTATTTTTTCACAGTGTGACTGGGGTATTTATATAGGTTACATTTATCTTGAACAGGTGTCTTTGGAAGCAGGAATATGGCAGCCATTACGTATGGAACGATTTTATTCAGTCCCTGCAGCTGATACTGTTGTCCAACAGTTGTTTCCCACACCCAAGACAGCCCCCTTTCCAGAACCACCTGATCCAAAAACATGTAAGTAGGAGTACATTCTCTTGAACTCTGCTGTGATTATTTTTCTTGCGTTTGGCAAGGGTTTGTCATTTGTTGAATTTCAAGTGTTAACAACAGCTACACCACCTTCTCTTAAGTGGAATTTGCATGATTAGTTCCCTGGGCTGTAAATAAGGAGCCGGCTTGGCCACTTGGTCAATGGAAGAAAACTCAAATGGTGCATTACAAATCAGTAGCATTGTCTAGCTGTTAAGGTAGTTCTGTTCTCTTCTGAATAAGTGACTGTTTATTTAGCCACTTAAATCAGAGAGAGGCAAATATTTCTTCCTCTAATTTAATAATGTAAATCCAGGGTCAATAGACTAGATAGACAGTTGAGTTTGAAAACTGTTTTCAAAATACTATCTTTGCCCATCTGATTACAATTGTATTAGAATGGAAACAGCTCTAAAGTTTTGTTCTTTTTATCAATTTCTATACTTTATAAAATTTACCAAGTATCAATCTATTTTATTTATGCATTTTAGCCCTCCTTTTTGTCTTCTCTTCCGTTCATTCTTGCTCATTAGGAATTTCTGTTGCTAGTCAGAAGCAGTGTTACCCTTGGCTTTTATATGTATAGTGTCCTTCCAATTATGAACATTTTCTGGCAGTGTATGAACCAATTAAAGGTATAAAGCAGACAATAAATTCAGTGTTTCAGCTGTGTTGCCGGAAGAGAACACTTCTATAACTTAATCTTTACTGACCACACTAAAACCTGAATACCTACTGCAATCTGGCTTTAAATCAAGGACAGCACTTCAGCCAATAAGCCACCCCTGTTGTCTAGGATCCTGACAGGTTTTGGTTTGTTCACCTTTCTGAGGCAAGTGCTCTTAGGGCTTCATACAGGATCATGCTCCCTGTTCCCTCTGGCCCAGTGAACTTGAGTTCCCCCGTGTGCAGTGTCTTCATCAGAAGAGGTAGACGGCTCCTCCACTTAACCCTGTTTATAAGTTAATGGTGAAAGGTCCCATTAGGGAAGATGGAGGTGTGGGGGAAAAGCTGAGAAGGAAACAGAGCTTGATACTCTCAGCTGAGCAAGCATGTAGCCATTAGGCATGGGCAATAGCATCGCTGGGTTTTGGTGGTGCTGACTGCAGCTGCTTTCTTCTGCATGGAACTCACTGATGTCAATATGTGTGAGCACATGGGAAGCATGGTAAGCAGACCTCATGTAAGAGCAGTGCAGTCAAACAGAGAGAGAGATGCCAACCCAGACAGCCCTTTCAAGGTGGAAAAATTGGTATAAGGAGTCATGTTCAAATTTCTGAAGGATCTGGCCAGTAGGAAGTAATTATGTGAAAGAAATCACAGCACCACTGAAGTATAACCTTTGTTTTTTCCTCTGTCTAGAAATTCAGTTTTATGACTGACTCTGTTAGTGCAGATTGTAAAGGGCATGAGTACAGATACCAAAAGTGGTCTAGCTGTAACAGCACTGAGTTCAGCGCAGGCTAATTTACTTTTCTTTCTGTCAGAGTAAATTAGTCCACATTGCTTTTCATTTCCATGGCTTCTGATGTCTGAGTTTGCTTGTTTAAAGCGAAGTCTGACATCTCTGAGGCACACTGTAGTTTGCAGTGTGATGCACCTTTAGTTTGAAATTTACTCAAGTTTATGTCGTCTTGGTTGAAGAGAAGTGACTGTATCTGAACTGAGTGGATCTGTTTAGTTCAAGCTGAGATAGTACTGATAAAATGACTGATACCTAGTTTATGACATCTAATGTTTGTCTTTTTGTGAAATCAAAGTGCTCACCTGTAAGTGAAGGCTGTACTTTTTTGCTCAGGTTCTCCTCGAGAATACTTAGAGTATTACATATTTCCTGTACTCTTACCTGGAATGGCTGAACTTCTGCATCGAGCAAAGAAAGAAAAGTGTTTTGAGGTGGGTTTTTAGTTTTCAGTTCAAATCACTGGCAGGAAGTTACAGCCTTTTATTTCACAGGCCATATGTCTTTATTTGGTCTTTTGCAAGAAAACCAACCACAATAATATGAAATAACATATCATGAGTTGTTTTGGATCTGGTCTTGAATGTTGTTCTCTCCAGTAATTCAGAACAGATTGCATGCTACACACACTTGATCATTATAACAATCTCTAACTCACAACAAACGCTTCTTAAATATCCAGTTGTATCTAGCCTAAATAGTGTTGTATTTTAGAGAAACAGGCTTCATTTCAGATTAATACACATCACTCATTTGAGGGTGACAGAAAGAACTTGAATTGTACTTCATTACTCAATTATTTTTGCTGGTCTGGTGTCCTAATAGAGGTACATCTTGTATTTTAGCTTTTTAACATTCTGTGTAAATTCCATTTAATTGGAAAGCAGGGTATTCAGCATTAATGAGCTTATACAAATTGTACATTAAAAAAAACATTGTTTGCTAGATATATTTTTGTAAACTTGTTTTCAGTGGACATGTGCGTAAGCATATCTGGAGAGACATTCCTCATTGTATATAGAGAATGCTTAGAAAAGCATTAGAACTGGTGCAACATAAAGCTCATTGTATCACCATAGCCTAACTCACAGGCCCCCAGCAATAGATTAGGTACTGGGAGTGTGGTGTCTTTCATAATTTCTCCTATTTTCTCCAATCATGGAAGTAATTTTTTTACTATTTCTTTCCTAATTTCTGCCTGTCACCCATACTTTCCAATGTAAAACTTCTCTATGTTTTTATGCCTGCAGCTGAGCCTCTTCTTACTTGCAGCTTCATAATATAAAGAGCAATTAATATAAATGACAATGAAAATATCTGCCTTTTTCTACATGATGCACATCTGAGGAATACAGTCTGTGCTCTTGGGGTTATAGATTAAAATGATAGCGCAGTGAGGAGGACTTTGCGTTACTGGTGGGTTGTTAATCATCTTAGGTCTTGATCTACCTCCTCTCCAACTACTGACATTGACTTCCTGTTATAGGCATGTCTATATATGACAACAGATACTGTGGAACAATTTGTAAAAATGACATATGTGCTATTTGCCACTGACCTATACATGCCTGGCACACACAAAGCTTACCATGCTTGAATGGACACCTCAAACTGGCATTTCAAATCCAAATCTGTGCCTTCAATAACAGGAAGTTATTTCAATTTTTGCTCAGTCTTCACAAGACTTATATGTGTCTATAAACGGATTGATTTATAGATGTGTGTATATGTATTTATAATCTGTGATTAATGCAGGTGAAACAGGAAAATGGTTCATTTACATGTCGTTATGGCATGACATCTCTGTATATCATTCCTGCCATCACATTTACATTACCTAGCTAGGAGCAGATTGAACACATATATTATTCATCACACTTAATGAAATCTATATTGATTCGTTTTCTTTTTTCTTAAAGGAAGCACATATCCTTTAACAGGAAAAAGGCATGTCTGTCTTAGCTGGCTTAAAATACAGTCCTTGATAGATGTTACATATTTCTGAAGGCAATAAAACATATTACAAAAATGTGAGAATTCATAGAAATACTTCTGTTTCAAACTCAAGACAAATCTAAGGTTTCTTTCTCTATTTTTAATCTGAGAAATTTTGCAGAGCTTCAGTGGTATATAGATTAGAAGGTGTCTGTTCTGAAAATGTATTTTGTATGGGTCTGTGTGTTGCTTTATAGTAAACTAATAAAAAAAATTATTTTCTAATGTACAGAAACTTCATGAAATCGAGCACATCTTATCAAAAAGACACTAGGTGATTTTTGTTGTTATATGAAGAGATGTCCTGCTTTTGGGGAGCTGAGTTTAGGAAAGCAAGCTTATGTCAGATGATCGTTTTCCACTGTGACATCATTTCTTCCTCCTTTTGAACAATAACTAGTAAAACAATAGCTCTTTATGCTTGCCATATAACTGAATATTTGTGTTCTTTTCCATTACTGTCCAGGTGCTTGTACTTGAACATTCTGTTTTCTTATCTGACTTAAATATGTAATTTCTAATTATACTATAAGATAACTTCAAAAAATAGGAGGAGAACAAAGAGTAGAAAGATTCATGGAATTCATGAGAGAACAGGAGAGGAACATGATTAATCGTGATTAAGCTAACTGAATTCGTGAAGGAAGAGAACAGAATACTAGGTTTGAATTTTGGCTAGACATGAGTCATTAAAGCCTGTAAAGGGCAGCTGTATAGAATAAACCAGTGGAAGATAAATGAAAGAAGCACTGGAAAAAAGGGAGGAATAATCAAACTGACTGCAGTCAACGTTGAGTGAGCCTGGGAGAAGAGAGAGAGAATTGCAAGGGAGAATGAAGAGTGGGTTTTTGAGAGGGGCTAAAGGTTTTCATGTTTTGAAGGCGAATGAAGATGAATGAGAAGAGAATGAAAAATTAAGTAGGAGAGTTATTTAGCAATTGAAATTGTGGTAAGGGAGATCACATCATGGGCCCAACAGAGGAATTTAAGGAAGATATCAGAAAAGATGCATCCATGTCTGGAAAGGAAGAATTGTAGAATCAGATGGGAAAGTTAGGAAAAGGAGGCAGTTATGCTGAAAGTAGTTATTTGCATAGGAAAGAAATCTGCAAGATCTTATTTGGAAGATGGTATAGAAACTTAAACATTTAATTGAAAATAGGCTCTCTTGCATTATGTAGTGCATATAAAAAAATCTGAAAAGCAAAAGCCTAGAAAAAACACCAGCTGCTAGATAGATTTGCAGACTTCAAACTGACATAAATATGAGAACAGTCTGCAGAAGCTTCGTTTTTAAATTAGAGATGAAAGAAACCTATTAGGCTGCCCAGTGTATTCCCTTGCTGATTTTTTTTTTCCCCGCCATAAGTTCCCCTGTGCTTTATCCTATCTCCTGTCAAATGTCTCCAGGGGAAAGACTATTTTCTTAAATCTTTTCTCTCACGAGAACTGACTAATGCATTAATTTTTCAGCATTAAAACTAAACAATATTTGAATGTTTTTATTAGCATAACTCTGATTTTTCTTTCTGGTTAGTGATCACAGAAAGAGGATGCCGTATCACACTCTGTAATGGAATATATTATATTTAAAAGTATGATAGACCAAGGAAAGTGAATGGAAGAAGATTTCCTAATGGCCTTGCCATGTCCTGATCACCAGTATTTTTGCATGGTTATTACTAAGCATATCATATTTAAACTGAAAAATGGAAAATTAATTCTGAATATAAATAGTTTAGAAGCACATCTGCAGGTTAACAATGCACATTGTGCAGATATTTCCTGTGTTTATCCTGATTCATGTAGCATAGGAGGAATGTGTCAAAGGCAGGTCAATTTATGTAATTTTTTCCCTTCTATAAATGTTGACTGCTGTGCAACTAATGATTTAATTCACTAGCAAAGCAAACTGTTTCCTGGCAAAAAAATAACAAAATAAAAAAATATTCAGCTTGACCAAATTTCTCCCTAATAAGTTCACTGGATCACAAGGATAAAGCAAGATGAATTTGATTCCTTTGGTGATGACTGTTTTGACAACACTGTTCTGAGTGTTTTTCCCATTGCAAAAAAGCAATTTACTTAACACAGATTAAATTACAACTGCTAGATTAAATTGGATTTTGTTGTTAGAGTATAGAATTTATTCTCTGAAACAATTCACTAAGTAATGGGACCCAGTTTCATACTTTGAGAATAGCTGTACAAAGATGATCAGACTCTGCTATTTGTTTTCAGATTCTGTTCAAGTAAAAATTTGTCCATATAAAATCTAAAATGTCCTGTAGAAAGCTCTCCAGTGCAGGTATTAGTCTCTTAAAACTTAGTTGTTTGGCTTCTCAGAACAGTATCTGGTATTAGCATGACAAGCATGAAGATTCCTTAGAGAGATGTGTTTCTTAACAGCCAACCACTCTAATGGAGCACTACATGAACCCCAAAGCTTTTGTTGTCATGAAACAGATTGTAAAGGCACGTAAGGTTCAGGACTGATAATTGTATTGCAATGTTCTCTTTTTCTGTTCTGCTTTTTTTTTTTTTTTTTTTTTTTTAAGAGGTTCTCTTTCTTTTCTGTGGGAGTCAGTATGTATGTCTACCAAGGGTAAGATTCGCTTAGAAAAGTAAAAGCTTTCCCGTGTATCATTAGGAATGCCACGCAGTCTAGCTCTAAACTTTGCATTTATCATCCCCTAGCTACATGACTGCCCCATATTTTTCACTGTGCAGTCAGCACCTTGCGTAATGTTCCTCTTCCACTTCACCTGTGGCTGAAGTAATACACTGACCCCCAAATTATGCCATGTGCTAATACCCCAAAGTGAAATAATTATGCCATGTAGAGCACTTTTTTCCTGCCTCTCTGTTCACGTCTCCCAGCCCTTTTTGTATCATATTCTTGTAGCACAGGGAGAAATACAGATGGTGAGGATAATGCATAGAATAAAGTAATTCATCATGCATTAGATTTCCAATTACATATTTATTGTATTTTTCTTAGCAAGTGGTAGTTGTACCTTCATTTTTTACATTTTAATTGAGACTCCAGCCTCTCTTATGAGATTTAGCAGTTTCACAAATGTGGTTGACCAGTGTGAATTGTTTTCCTAAAAAGTAATAATTACAGTTGGATCTCCCATTTGACAGGGTAAGTATTACCTTCTGGATGGGAGCTAGGCTTTCTCTTACCTAAATGGCTACTATTTTGATAAAGCACTCGGTGTCTCTGTTCTGCAGGGGCTTAATGTTTTTTAGTCTTCACTCACTGGCTGTGTATGTCTGTAACGCATCTCATGTAAGAGGGGTTCAGAAGACACTAATTAAGCTCTTCTGTCATTCGAACCAGAAGTCTTCACTATATTCTCCGCACCTGTACCCATTTATACATTCCATCTGTAAAGATGGAATGTGGAGAGGAAATCTCTTAAGAAAAGGAAAGCCCTAATCAATTCTGTATTGATCAAAATTCATGCTTTGAATTTTGAACTCAAAATGTATTTTACGGCATGCAATGCTGTCCAGCAAAAGAAGTACTGGCTGCATGAGTCACTAAGGATAACCTGCTGCAAAGCATTTTGCAAAATTCTCTTTGGTGGTGAAGAAGTCTTAGAACTGGGAGCAAAGGGCACAAATGTTTTGTTCCCAAGCTCTAGATTTTGAACTTTTTACCTGATTCTCTGTAATGTCCATGGTATCTGTGGTTGTAGATATACATACGCCTTGTTTCTGCCTTCCTTTCTGGACTACCCAACAGACGATTTTGTCTGAGCAGCCATACAATGCTCTGCTGCATGTGTGTCTTAAGTATTCACAATGCCTTCAAGCTGGTTCCATGCAGGAGGAAACAGCATTCCATCAACGTTCCTTCTGTGCCTTGGAAGCAATGAAGTATTTTAAGTAAGATAAAGAACTTTGAACAAAATGGCAAATAATTGACATATTTTCATATACAGGTTCTGTTAATTTCTTTGCAGTGAGATTGCCACTTACTTAGAACACTATTCTGAGATATTTGTCATGGCTATACTGTAGCAAATATCCAGATAGTATATGTAGAATTTTCTCACTCATTTTTTGACTTGACTTGAAAGCATTCCACAAAATTTCTAAAATTTTGGCTGAGCCACTGACTGTTGGCAGTAGCAATATTAAAGTAGACAGAGTGATGTACTGTATATTTTATTTAATAAAAGCAGTCAATTTAGCTTCTGTTCCTCTCCAGTAGTAAAACCATGTGACCGATCCAAAGATAATAAATAATTTGAAACTATCTTTTGTCTTTAGAGAAAAAGGACCAAATTTATTGCCTGTGATTTCCTAACTGAGTGGTTATACAAGTAAGTTAATCGTGGCTTTTACTATTAATTATGCTCAGTGATTCAAGCATTAATTTGCAAGTAGAATAGCTACAATTTAAATTAATATGAGTTGTTTTCTTTTTTTGTTATCAGCAAGAACCCAAAGAGGAAAGATGAGTCATTCACAGAATTCTTTTCCATTCCTTTTGTTAACGACTGGCTAAAGGACCAGTAAGTTATTGCAGTACTCTGAGTAACCTTTTCTCCTTTTATTCTTTTTCCCCTGCTATTCCAGAAAAGTAATAGAGCTTCGATGCATTACAATTGTGCCCTCTAAATGCCCTTTACTGCGTGCAACAAAGAACTGTGTGATGCTTTCTAAGTTGGTAGTGTATTAGTTACAAGGTATTTTGTACCAGAATTGTTCACAGAGAAAATAGTTTAGAATTCTTAAACATTTTAATTGCAGAGTGCAGGGCATTCAAACAGTCTGGTAGTATTGTGAACATCTTTGTACTAAGGAGCAAAGCAGTGCTGCTTACTACTATGGAAATCTTTGAGGATATACAGTCTAGAAATTCTTCCTCTAACTGTAAGCAGCTGTTTTAAAAATACCTGTAATAATCCTTGGCATCAGGATGCATTTCTGCAGACATTTATGACTTTGCATCTGAGAAGTGAACACTTGTTTTGGCAGCCTCAATCACATACTCCTTATTATTTCTGTTGAACCAAGCTACACAGTATTTTTGAAAGAAATGTTACTGTCCTTGAGACTGCATTTTGTTTTAAAATGTAGCTGTTGTATGAGCAAAGAAGTAAAGTAATAGTCCACTGTGAGATAATAAGAAAATTAGATAATCAGATTTTAAAGAAAGTTTTCAATTTGAAACTTAATTGGAGGCTAGGTTGGTGGTCAGTGAAAACTTAGATATTAATATCTTTGTAGATATGTTTACTTCATTACACTATATAAGTGGAAATTGAGCTTTCTTGAACTCTTGTCCTGTGAAACGTAGAACCTTGAGTCACTGATTCAGCAAGAAGAAAGCTCCTTGACATTCACAGGTCTTTGGAGAAAAGCTGGTGATTGTGACATGAACAGTTAACTTTGATTACCTTAAAGGTGGCCGTGTGGTCACAGTTGTTTAGGAAGTTTCTGTGGTAAGAAGTGGACATCTTTGCAGAGTGACCCATTTCATCTCAACTCTGATACCTTCAGGTACCTGCTACTGCATCATACTGCTGTTGTTCAAGTCTGCCCCTAACAGTTTCATTCTGTAGATCACTAGGTCTGGTCAACAAGATTCCCATTTAAGGCAGTGAATTTTGTAGTTTTGAAAGTGATTGTGAACTGCAGTGAGGTTGTCACACTCATTTCTTAAGCATACTGAGGAGCCATCTGTTAGTAAGGCAGTTTCGATACCACTGAATTGTGAGGATGGATATTTGTACCTAAGATAAGTATCTAAGATCACAGTTTTACAAACGTTTCTCTTGGAAATAAAACTGACCTAAATGGTTCCCTGCTTCCTCCTGTTCTTCACCCCCAGCTGCTCGTAGGCAACCTAATATCACCCTGGCTGTTTGGTAAGATGCTTTGTTATTATGATCAGGGACCTCCTCTGACGTAGAAATCTGTCTGCCAAAATGTGTGAGGAGGGTTTGTATAGCTCTTTAAAATACAGATAATTTCTCCAATCTGGTTCTCCTGGGAGCCTGACAAGCCTTTGTACTGGCACAAGCGAAGGATTAAAATGAAGGGCTCAGGGCAAGGTGAAGAGAACAAATGAGTTGGTAAGATATAGAGGTGGTGGCAGGAACTGCTTAAGTCAGCTTTGCCAACAAGAGAAATACACTGTGGAATCACAGGCTGAATGACTCATAGCTTCTGTTAGTACTTGTGCTACTAAATAACGTAGTGACAGCTCCACAAGGACACTGAAGTGTCAAAGTCCTACTTAAATTGATACAAAGTAAACAAGTAGGCCTTAAAAAATTATAATTATTAAAATTGTTATTAGAAACCAACTTTTTGTGAATTTACCTTAAAATTACAGATTTCTTAACAAATATTGCTTATGAAGTAAGCATCATTAGAGCAAAGTGAAAGATTACAATGTTAAATAAGAATAAAAATGAGAGAATTTATTATTATGTCCTTCTGGATGTGTCATAAATAGTTTATTATTATATCCTTCCAGATATCACATTTAAAATGTAATTGATTCTATGTTTTTTATTGTAATTTTCATTTTTATTTATAAAGGAGTTTTCATGTTTTAACAGGATTTTTGAATATGTAAGAGACAACAAGCTAAAAAGTACTGGTCAAATTTTGATGGGAAACATCATTATCCCAACTGTTTAGATGGTATTAATAAAGAAAAAGAAGGAAAAAGTGTTGCTGCAAATTTAAGGGGTAAACTCTTGTGTTACTTTTTCAGTTACTTGTCTAAATTTGGAAAGCATTCTGAAAGGTCTGTTAAATAGGAATACATTTCTATATGCTGTTAAAATAGGGTTTATCGGTGCAAAGTGGTCTTCATGCTTAAAAAAAAAAAAAAAAAAGCAAAACCAAAAAAACCCCAGAAGGTTAAATTTTTGTTCTATCAGAGATCCCACTTTTTTTAATATATTCCGTACCTGAGTATGACTTTTTTTGGCTGTCCTCCAGTGCCTCCAGTTTTTTCTTTGAAGCTCAGTTTTTTTAAAGATTAGTCAAAGCCACAATCTTATGAGCCTCACATTCTGTATGATGTGTTTCTAAATGAGATCTTGCAGCCTACTTTTACTTTATAAGCCGACCCAAATGCTGCATTGGTTTCCAGAATTTTAAATGCAAATATTGTACCTTCAAAAGCTGGTTGCTGTAGGTGAAGGAGCTTGTAAAATTTGAATTTGTTTCCAGCTTTAGTATTTATAGTAATTGCTATGACTTCAGTAAATAAAAGCCTCAGTATAGTTCCATTGTCTTCCACTGCGTTCTGTATTTTACCAGTAGCACTGACAGAATACTGCATCCCTTGGGAATCCTTGATTCCCAATGTAGATTTCAAAAGCAGTAGAAGGAGCACCCTCAAGACTGACTGGTAATCTACAGTTCACATCCAGGAGAACACAAAACGTTTCTGTTCCTGCTGATATAGCCAAGTAAAGTAAATAGAATTCAAGCCTTGAATGTTTTGTACTCCTATAAACATGCTAATAAGCAACACAGTTGCCTTTTGTCAGCATTTTCCAGTGGTGTTTCTGGTTGAATAGCAGTGAAGCTTAGTCACAAGCAACCAAGCTCTGTGTACTGAATCAGGGACAGAGAAAGAGAGCGGTCTGTGTTTATGCCCCAATCCCACTTAAATTCTACTTTTCTGGCATAGATAGGCTGAGTTCTTATTCTGAGTATCATGGGAGTATCATTACCCAACCTTCTTTAGCATATTAATGAAAAAAATATGAAGAAAACAATAAAAACTAGTTCCACTGGTCTGAAAAATACCAATATTAGAAAAATGTACTGTCACGTGAATTTAATACAACAGTATTGTTCAAGTTCACCTTCAACACTTACGTTCAATGAAAGAGAATGGTATATGGATCTAGGTTAGGAATAAGCATAAGTATTTTCCTGGCTGTTGAAGATCAGTCTTTGTATGCATATTTTACAGGGGTTACAGGAACCAAAGGTGCATTTTGTAAATAAGCATTCATTCACAATAATTTATTTATCTGCATTTTCTCATTTTCCATATAGAGGTATTTACTTGATAACTCAGTTCAGGACACATTTCCGGGTTTAATCTATCTGTGTATACCAAAACAAATGTACAGATACAGAGAAAATAAATGTATGGTGGCTTTACTGAAGTAGGCAGCTAAGATAAATATATATATATATATATAAAAATTATTACTAAATGTAAAGTGGCTTTTTGCCAAATATCTGTATATACATATATACACATTGATTTTTTTTTTTTTTTTTTCCCTCCCTCCCCCCTGGTATTTTAATTAGGTGAAGTCTGCTGGTCTCAGCTGCCTTTACAGTTGACTTCATTGTCAGTTCTCAGATGGCCAATGGGGGTAATTTTGCATGGGTGACCGATTTCTTTCTTTCCATAATGTGCCCAGTTTCTACAGGCTTTGCTTTCTGCGCACTGCTATATTTTACTGTTTGACTCTAAACCAGCCATGTTTAGAGTATATTTAATTTGCATTATGTTTTTTCTTTCATTTTCTTTAATAATTTGAGCTTTAAATTTAGGGAGGTGAGGGGTATGATGAGCAGCCCATTTCATTGTGATAGTGGAAAAGTCCAACAAATATGCCTGTGTGGATGTTACTCTATGTGGATCCAAGTAAGGAATTGCCATTCCAGTAATGTGGCAGAATTCAAGTTAACAAAAGAGAAAATTTTGACTTAAAACTACAACTGTGTGTTGGAAAATTGTACAAAGTTTCTGTATACAATATTTATAATGTGTAATGGTGTTTTATGAGGTTGAGGTTTTATGGCTACAAATCCTCATGCAGTGCTGAAACTTGCCTTAATTATGTAAAGATTGTCAAAATGGCAATGAGAAAATTGAAAACATATTAGTGGTTTATGATGTCTTCCTAATGTTGCTGTTAGAATACTAATTGGAGATTATTTTTGCTGCTGTTAGTTTTTCATGTTTACAGCATGCAAGGTCTGATTTCACGTGCACAAACATAGATGGAAATTTCCCCATTGACATGAGTGGACTTTGGGATAGGTCCATGTTTGGTTTCCTTCAGTCCAGGACCACAAACACTCTTACAGAATACATAAATATCAGTCCTACAAAAGAGAACACTGAGGCAATGCATTGTGACTTGCAAAATATGTATGAAGTATGCAAGCACAGGAGGAGGACGGAGTTTTATCAGTAAAATGGATAAGTCCTCCCCAAGTAGAGATCATATTAAAGAGGCAAGAAAGCCACTATAATTTTCACACAAAACTTAAGACAAAAGATTCTTGCTCTTTTATTATCTTGGCATGTTCTTGCTGCTAAGACTTCTTGCTGTGCTTCCTCTCATTCTTCTCACATTCTTGTTACCATTCACCTATTCTGCCTCATTCTCCTGCCCATTATATGACTCTGCCTCTCCACTTCCCAACTTTCTCGTGCTGGTTCCACGCTATCTTTTCTTTTTACCATATTTTTCTTCATTATAAATAGGTAAATAAGTATATAAATAGCTTGTATGTGTTAACAGTTGTATGCATATTGTCACTTTGACCACTTTAGTAATACTTCTGAGTGTGTTTTATGATTTTATTATATTGTAATATCTTGCCTCTTTTTTGGTTTTGTTTTGTTAGAATTGTGGCCGAGACAGAAATGAAACAGGAGATTTAAAAGTGAAATGTTTCATATGTTCAGAACATATAGCCTTTATATTTGAGGATATTCAAAAGACAAAAGTGTATTCAAAGACCAGCAAAGCAGTGGAAGATGCAAAGAACGGAGGGGGGCAAAAGGAGTAAAAATATATATATATATTTTTTTTTTAGTCTTCATTTAGCTGTTGACAGTATCAAGGAGCTTTTATTTGACGAAGGTAATGGAGAAGAAGAGTTCAGACAGCAGGAGTCACACTTCAAAATGTCTGCTTGTTTGTGCTTCCTTTCTTCAGAAGATTAAATTTGGTTATTCCCACATTCAGAGTCATTCAGAAATGTGCCCTCCATATAATGCACAATCATGTTTTCATATCTATTCTAAGGATTTTTTTTCTCCAAATATTTTTCTCTTATTCTAGTGCATTTAGTTTACTGCAAATGAAAGCCAGTAGTTAGTAGTTTATTTCTGGCTGTTGAATAGTTGCATTAATACTAACAGTCTTGAAAAGAAAGGTCTCAGTTCACACTCAGCTTGGCCTATGAAAATATTCCAGGGTATTTTTGTCAAGTGTTTGGGAATATTTCCCTGTAAGCCTGTGAGGCTCATACAGTGATAGCGTAATATGGGATTAATATATCTAATTGGTTTTAAATACCAGGTCAGATAAATCAATACTTCAGTCTCTGATTTTTTATGAACAATCTTTTTCCTGCTTTTTGATCTTAATAGTATCTATAATCAGAGATTTTTGATACATTTATTCTGAAGCAAAACAATAGTTTTTCATTGTTGCACACTTCTGCAACTCTGGGTAGGCGTGTAAGAAGGACTTAATATGCTGTAATTTTTCTAGATTCTCTGAGTAGGAATAAAAAATACTGAAAATAGAAAAGAAAACTACTTTGAAAAAATTCCAGAACAATTCTTTTGGTTGTTCAGACCAGTATGTGAATTTTTGGAGTACTTTCCAAACCAAAGACTTCCTCAGAATCCTTTTTTTAAGAGTTAACGCAGATCACCATGGTCATTTACTTGCATGTCTTACATTTATCCCTATTCTTTGGTCTGTTCTTTTGTCTTTTAGATTACGAATTTTGCACTAACTCTGTCATTGCCTGTGTTCATATGTGATATAAATATTCAAAACCAATAACCATCACAGCCAAACTAAAGGTGAAGTGGTTGTGGCTGTTTAATACAGCAGTGGCTGTCATATTGAAACTTGCAGGCCTCCAGAAGGCCTGATTCTTGTTGTTAGGGTTGCTTCAATGTTTCTAGAGAAGAGCTTTCTAAAACCAGAGAGAAACCCTGATCATTCATTGACTGCACCTGGATATTCCGCTGCCCCCGCACACCATCCGCCCCAGGCACCGATGCTCTCTGTCGCTAGCACGGTAGTCCTGCAGGCAGCTAGCTGTAAGGCTGGTGGTTAAATTTGGTGGTTGTCTGTTACTGTTAGGGAACAAATTTAAGTAAAAAGAGCAATTACAAAATCCTGAATTATAGATAGAGAAAATTTTGCTTGATTAAATTTTTTCTTGTATTTCCTTTTCAAGGAAGGAATCAGACCTTCTGTTGTAGGACAATTGGGGTTTCTGGATGTTACTGTGTAAAAATACTGACTGTATACAGTGTCCATCAGCATGACTGTGAACCCCCAGAGGTTAGCTTGTCTGGTTTGGTGACAAGATAACAAAGGGCCTTTTTCTCCCCCTTCTTATGAGTTCATTGAGAAACCCAGCACAAGCTGGGTTCCTTGTGGTCCATGAGGAAATCAGACACACATCTTCAGTAAGAGCCTCTTTCAATACCTCATACATTTATTTAATACAAGTCTGCTTTATATCTTCTGGATGCCAAATTCTACCTGCATAATGTAATATAATTAGTATCTCACATAATGAGAATGCGTACAAGTTTGCTCAGAAAGCACAAAATGTGTTTTTGAAATTTAACTTTCCTCTGGTCAATGTCTGCTTTATTCAGATTTGGTAAAATACAATACTTAAGAAAAATCATTTTACTGATGCTCTTTTACAGGTGCAACTTGTGTTAATATATCTGATATATATATATATCTCAAAATAGATACCGATATGTTTAGTGTACATTTTACTGTCAGTTTTAATCTTCTTGGAGGCACACAGCTGTCTTCTGCCACAAATGACATATTCCCTCTTTTCCAGGTTCACTGCTGAGGGGTGATTGCCTCTGTTCAGATTCTATTTTTATTTGACCCGAAGCCAATTGCGTATATTCTCTTAGACAAAACTGGACCTGCATGACTTCTGTTCTTTATAGCTACCCTGCTGAAATGATTGATATTTGCCAGTGACTGTCATACTGAAAAATAAGTCCTGTTTTTTGCTTGATTTTATATTGGTTTCTCAAATTTAGTGTTGGATTATAAACTAGACATTTATATAATTTGAAAATGAAAGCAAATTAATGCTAGAGTCAGCCTAGCAGGCTAGGAGTAATCTCAGTTTGGTCTTTAGAGATGTACTCATTCTTAGAGAAAGTTCAATGTCTTTGATATAACTGCTGTAGAATATGTAGGTCTTTCTGTGATTTTCCCACTCTAAGTTTTGGTTTTCAAAAAGATCAAAAATAGAACAGAGGATGAAAGCCTATCAGCCAAACCAGCACAGTCCAACTTCATATTTTTAAATCTGATTATAAGAAGCAGTTTGCTCAGGAAGCCTTGCTTGTCCAGCACTTACAATTTCCCTTGAGCAGTAGAAATGCTAATTAATTTTCACAGAGCTAGAACTGTTTAGCTTAATGGAAAGACTTCTTTTTGTTTTTGTCTTATTTCTACTCTTCCAAACACACCAGGGTTTTCTTTCATATTAAAATAAATGTAGGCCAAAAGCCAGTTGACATGATGATGAGACCAGTTTAGTCAAGTACACAGACTCCAACGGTGTAGCCAGTCTAGCATTAGAGAATAGTTAAGATTGTGCTTTAAGTTTAGAAATGCTCCTTCAGTGAAAACAAGTCCTAAGAGAAAGATGTCGGAAAACATAGGAAGCTGACTAGGGCAGAGACTAATATGAATGAAATTAAGTGAAAGGAAAATGTAAGCTGTCAAGCCTCCTAGCTTGAGCTGTAATATACTGTAAAATAAATTTCCAAAAGAAATGGCAGACGTAATGTTTGGCCAGAAAATGTAAGATGGCATAAATAGCTTGTTAATTGATGGTCTTTGCAGTATATGTGTCTATACAGTATAAATACTATAAATGATGTTCCTGCGTGGGTTGCGTGTGTCTGTAGTTCTGGTAAAATAGACAGCTTACAACTGGTATAGACAAAAACATATTTGACAGTTAAATCCAAATGATTGCTGCATCCAAATTCACAATGCTGTGGGCTTCCAAGTCAGTGCTGTGTTCAATCCGTGTCCCATGCAGGGAGCATGGCTCTTAGCAGCCATCCTAACATTCTGCCAAGTCTGCTGTTTATAGCCAGCAGTTTCGTGAGTTGCAACATTATTGCCCTACAGTTCATTAGCTTTAAATCACATTTATTATAAAAGAAACTATATAAATTAATTTTGTCGTCTTCTTTTCCGTGGATGCTCTCTGATCATTGTGTGTGAGAAATAAGTCAACATCCATAGAAAATGGCTTTTGGGAAGCAAGATTTCATACAGTGATTTGAGTTTTTGTTAGTGATGGCTGAATTGTAATTCTTGTTTAGAGTGTTTCCCATTAAAATTGGTAGGAACAGAATCAGCAAAAATCCTTTCAAATTGCTGTGTATTTTGGCTGAAAATTGTTGACTTCACATATTTATTACTTTCTTTTATCACCAAACAATGTGTATATACTATCAAAAGTAAAATGTCAGCATTTTAAGAACTTGTTTAGACATTTCTAAACATGGAGCCATGCCTATGCAGATATGATAATAATCCATTACTTTTTCCACTACATTTTACTTTTAAGTGAAACCATAATGTAAATTTATGTACTAAAATATATTTATGTTCTGCGGATTTAATAATTGTAAGGAGCATTTATGTTGTTCATTGTTGCATGCACACTCAAGCTCTTCGTCTTTACAAATGGCACGCCTACTTCTCTTGCTTCCCTCCCACCACCACCTCAAACCCTACCATAATGGTAGGAATTTGAAATCTGCGTAGAAGAATAAGAAAGGTTACTGTGCTTGATGTGCCACTTGTATATTATTGTTGTAAAGAAGAAATTTTTGTAGCATACATAACAGAATATATTTGAAAAGGAGATATTCTTTGCACATTTTATCTTTGGAGCAATAAGAAATGTATCTTTCAAGCTCCCGAACAACTTCTCTTTTTTTATAAGATATACTGTTAGGGAAGAAAGTATTTTACATTTATAGGCTGTCTGTTTAAAAAACTTTTTTTTCTTAAGTCCTAGGCCACCAATTCCTCTCTCTCTCCTTCTGTCGGAAGAAGAAGCAAGCATAGTAATTCAGTCCTTCTGGAGAGGTTATCGGGTAAGAGTAATCTATAATTATTTTGCTTGATGTTGGAAACCGTAGGACTGTGAAGGCCTCAGGGAAAATCCTTACATAAATTTTAAGTAGGGGATACTATAAATAGCTGCTCAGACCCTCATGGTTCATTGGGTTTGGATGTTGCTCTGCCTTATGCCTAGTGACTACAATTTTTTCACAGGCATTTACGCTGATGTAATCTCACTGTTTTCCTCAACAACAGAAAATCTGCAGCAATTTGATTTTCAAAAGTACAATTAACACCGAGCAATTTTCTTTTTTTAGTTGATCTTTGGCTAGTTGCTAAAGGATGAAGTGTTACTTGCTTCATGCAGGGATATGTGAGTGTGCAGATACACAAGGAATATTGGTGAGGTGTGTTAAGAAATAAAAACATACAGAAACAAAGGAGAAAAAATTGAGACCAAGAATGTGACAGGAGATGTAGGAGAGGCATGGAGGCTGTTACTCAAGCAAAGGGCAAGCGGATATTGCAAGCCATAGTAGTAATACAACACTAACAAATTCGCTAGTTTAAGGGGGAAAAGCAAGGTGCATAAAATAAATACAAAAATAATTGGCTAATACTGTTGTTTTGGAGGGTAACAGCCATGCCAAGCCTAGGCTATGAAATAAATTATTTTAAAAATCCTGAACAGATTCTGTGAAATATTTCTTTGAAAGGCTCCAACACCTTCACGCCTTGGAAAGAAAGAGACTTGAAATTCAGGTGAATTCGGTGACCAAGAAATGTCTTTGACTGCCTTTATCAAAATGTAAGCTTGTAAATAGTCTCCAGACATAGCAGTAATTTCGTTGTGATGGACAGTGAGACATCTCTGTCTGTACATCAGGTGTAATAACAATCAGTATAAAACACTCTCTGTTAAGTTCTTCTTTGCTACTTTTAACAAGCACGAATATGAGTGGCTACTATAATGTGCCATGCAGCCAAAGATGATTAAATACCTTGAAATTATCTTTTTGACTGATAATTTTGTGATGCTTTCTGCTTGTTCGTTTTCCTTTATTTTTCTTTTTTTAAACAGAGACGGCATTGACACTAACATTAATTAGCACTGACAGTATCACTGCAGGCATCCTTACAGTGGAGTATTGCAAAGGCAACCATTATCCAATAACAGTTACGTTTGCTGAGCACTGCCAGATTGCTCAGATATCCTGTGCTTCTACCAAAGCCTCTGAAGGGCACTATCCTTCCTTGCTATATATATTAACTTCTAAATTTTCACAGGAGTATTTATCATTCTAAACCAGTTCCCAGAAATGAGAAAGTGTAGCTATAAAGAGTAGGAGACATCAAAAAGAATTCAGACTATAAAATGAGTTGTTACATGTTTTAGCTTATTAGAGCTGAAAGAACTTGAGGTTTTAAAAGTTCAAATTTAAATTAAAATCAGAATATAAAATAAAAATCATTAGTAACAAGTTACTACATAGGGCAATTTGTTATCCTTGGGCTTGAAAATTAAGAGAACACTAAGCTTAAATGGGATTTTGTTGCATTAATGTTAAAGTATATTATGAAAATTTACCAAAGAATTCAGATTATTTGCTTTTAGAATAATTAGCTCTGTCAGCTAACACTGATTTATTGTAGTAATAACTGAATGCTTACAAATAATGTCCTTTTGCATTCTAAGGATATTATTCTGTCAGCATTTTAAAGTATTTTCTGATGTTTTTCATTAAACCTTGTTTTATAATTCACAGAATTTGGAACTTTTAAACACTATTGAAATAAAAATTTACACGTTGTGATGACATTGCACACATACATATTTTACATGGCACTGTGATAAAGGAACAGTATACTTCATCATTGGTCTTCTCAAGATACACTTTAAAGGACATAAAATCCATAGGTACTTGTTTGAAAGATGGGTGGAGTGGGATTCTGGACACACTGTTAGATTTCAGAAAAAGTAAGAAACTCGGAAATCTGGGCAGGGTAATTTTATCTTGAACCATGCTATCCCAAATGTGAGCCTTATAAGTTTTCTATTCTTAAACAATGTCATATAAAGTGTGAGAAACTACAGCAAGTTATTTTCTTGGACACATCTTCTGTGAACTCAGACCATTTTTGAATTATTTCGTTAACTCTATGGATCTAGGCAGTAGAGTTTGTCTTGTTGTATAACTGACTGAGCATCGTGTCTTCTCATGACACTTCACTTGTTTCTGCCACATCCAGCTGTCTGCATGTGCCAGTATCAAAAACACATGGCAATCAGCAAAAATGGATCAGGCAGGAAAGGTTTTTCTATGTAAAGGGGGAAAAAAAGCTATAGGTACAGAATATGGAAAACTTTTTGATAGTAAAGCATGATTGGTGCAGGACATTCATCCTTAGCTGAAGCAAATTCAGAAAAATACCTGGTTTGGTAGTAATAATTAATGCCTGCCATCAACAAAGTCCTTTCTACAATCTTCCATACAAAGACGTTGATGAATACTCCAAAAATTATTTCAAGTTTAATCAAGAATTAAATTCCAGTACAAACAGCAGGGGAAGCTATAACTGCTGAATACTCTTAAGGAGATCAGAAAGGAAGATGTCATCTTGAGGGGTCTGCTTGAGGGCAAGAAGGAGCACCCAAATAAAGCTGGAGACAGCTCTGTCATCAGAATTCCTTCTCTTCAATTCTTGCTGTACTCTTTTATTGAGATTCCATTCATCTGTTGTGGGCCAAGGCAATATTAAGTATCTGATGAAAACACTTGATTGGTAGGTATCAATTTTCCAGGCACTTTTCCGATAAAAGAAGTTATATTCCTTCACCCTTCTACTTCAGAATCCATGCTTAGTGCCATTTTTTTAATGGGGTCTTTTTAATCTTTACAATTTGCATAACTATTCTAGATTGAAGGGATTTTTCATTCATACAGTTTCCTCCAATGTCTCTGGTCAAAGCTTTAGTCTTATCCTTTCACTGTTGTGCAACATATTCTCACCTAGCACTGAAAGCAGTTTTATTTTGACTAAATCTTGTAATATGGAGTTTAAATTAGGCAACATTATGTAAATATTCAGTGCTATTTTATACATAAATATTGTTTGAGCAGAAGTTAAATCAGAATTGAACAGGTTTCTTTTTGTATCTTACAATTTGTTGTGCTTTTGCTATCACAATTTATATTCCTTTCCAGCAAGTTGTGGCTTCTAGCAAAGACTCAAACCCAGAAGGTCACACAAATATTCACTGTTCTTTACAGCAAGTCTAGATTCAGTCCAAGTAACTTGGGTAAGAGTGAACTGTCACTTCAAAGTTGAGACTCCTTCAGTGCTTCATGCGTTGCTGGTCTGCAGGACCATCAGTTGTTTGGACAAGACAAAGCTCTTGGCACTTTCATTATTTGCCTGGAGATTTTGCTGCTGAGTCATGGCTTTTTTAATCATGGTAGAATTGCATGCTGATTACAAAATAAAGGCTATTTTCTGAGAAATTCACAGCTATGCTAAATTATAATCTCTTAAGCATATTTGGAACATACTGATAGTATTTTGTTAAGTTGCTGTTACCTGTTTTACTGCAGGTGATGTAGCTGTGTTCCATTTTCTTTCACTTTTCTAAAAAATCACATTGTTCTGGGAGCTCATGCGCACTGCTTGGATTTAATGTGGAGTATTTCAGCCTATCTGACTATGCCTTTATCTGAGAGCCCTGTATTTTGCTATGTATTTCACTATACTTCCACTATTTTATTTATCTAGGGAGAATATGCAGAATCTACTATACTTGCCTTTTGTCTTTTAACTGTTAAGAGTTATTGTCTTTGTTTTCAGTATAGAGAGATCACTGTGGCCCTGTCACAGGCCAAAATACAGGTCTTGCATAGCTGCAGTTATAAATGGACACTTCATTTTTTCAAAAATTTCATAGTTAGAAACAGAGGTAGGAATTTCTCTTCTCTTCCTGCCTCTTCTGCTCCTGTCACTTGTATGTCCCATAAGCATTCTTTTAACCCCTTTCTGTGCAGACAAGCTGACTCCATGTAATAAGGAATTATGGGTTCTATAAAAGCATACATGACAGTATAAAAGAAAAAAATTTCTCTTGCAAATCTAAAGGAAGTGTTTGGGATTATATTGTATTTTTGGGAATAGTATTTGATGGATTTAATAGAAATTTTTTTTTTTTGTATAGCTCAAAACAAGACCACTAGTAACAGTATCTTTTTTCCATTTCTAAAATTTCATATCAACCTTGTAAGAACTTCATATAACTTTTATAGAAGATAATACAGAACTATATTAATATAATGGGATATTATTAGAGGCCTAAGAGGTATCTGATGTTAAGTCACTAAATAAAAGTCTTGCCTGTCTTTATTGATCATGTAACCTCGTATTGTATTTCTGCTCTGCCAGTGCACAATCTGAAATATAGCACGTTACCTTCTCCTAAGTGGATTGGAAAGTGCTGTGGGAGTTCAGCTACTGTCTGTTGCATTCTTAGCTGCACCACAAAGGAGAAATTCTGGGTGGAAGAATACTTTTGATAAATAATTTATATTGTTTTCTTGAAGGTTTTTTTTCTTTTCTTTTTTTTTTTTTTTTTTTTTTTTTTTAACTAGTGGAAAGCTAAGTCCTGCTCTTTTGCTCTGTATGTGGCTCAGGGAAGTAGGAGAAAACCAGAGTGTAATGGAGCAGAGTAACAGAGTTCAAATCGCAGAGCAAACTCATTACCATATCATGTAAATATAAGAAATTTTCTAGAAAACAAAGTAGTCGGCTTCCTGAAAGCAAAAATGTGCCAGGAGAAACCAAGCTTATCGCTGCTTGTTTCTACCATGTTATTTGACTTCAGCCTGAATTACTAGGACATTAACTCCTAAACCATAATGACATTTTATATACGTAATATTTAGAAAAAATAGAAACTCCATTTTTAATAATTCTATTATAATTTGGATACGACACTAATAGAATAATCACTTACCAATGTCTAAGCTAATATAGCATGTCCCCTTCCCACTGTTGTCAGAGGGACAGC